TACCGGAGGAGGACCTGGTGCTAGGAAGAGCGGCGGGGGGGGGGAGAGGGGCAGTGCGGTAGGGGAAGAGACGGTAAAAGGGAACCGACTCGTCGAACGTGACGTCCTGAGAGGGCAGGACACGGCGCGAGGTGGGGTGGTAAAACTGCCAGCCAGGCGCGTTAGGGGGAAAGCCAAGGAAGACGCAGGGAATGGCGCGGGAGGAGAGCTTGTCCGCGGATGTATCGCGGACAAAGGCACGAGAGCCCCAGACCCGGAACACCGATGCATCGCCAACCTCCCCCGTCCAACGCAGTGTCGGCGAGGTCTCCGGCAAGGAGACACGGGGCCAGAGGTTGAGCTGATGCGCAGCGTACCGGACCGCAAACGGCCACAGTAAATGGGGGGCAGCCGCATGGATCATGGAGGTACGAGCGACCTCCATGACTAAGCCAATGCGGCGCTCAGCAACCCCATTCTGCTGCGGAGAGGCCGGAAGCGTGAACGACTGGCGAATGCCCTCCCCACGACAAAAGTCCCGCAAGAGGTCGGAGGAAAACTCACCACCTCTGTCAGAGTGCAGACGCAGGACTAGAAGGTCCGCGTGGAACCGCTCGCGGAGCTGGAGACGGACAGCGCGGATCCAAGGGATCAAAACATCAGGGACCTCCCCCTTGCTACGCAAGGGGAAGACCATGGTGTAACGCGAGTAGTCGTAAAAAACCAGCAGAAAGTAGCGCTCGCGGCCCTGTCCACGGACGCGGGCTGGGCCCCACACGTCCATGTGGAGAGTCTGCAGGGGAGCAGTCGTCGGGGGAAACGAGGAGGAGTGAGGAGCGGCGCGCTGCCGCCCCTCGACACAAGGAAGGCAGGGAGGGGCAGGCGAGGGTGGGAGGGGAGGCAGAGACCTGGGAAGACCAGAGACAAGGAGACGGGAGTGCATGCCACGGAGGCGCTGCATTGAGGGGTGACCAAGGCGGTGGTGCCAAAGGAGGGTCTGGTGCGACAGGGCGCGACACGAGCAGGGGGCCACTAGCTGACCTGACGCGGACGTAGACGCAGCTACTTGAGGAGACACAGTAGTCGGTGTGTACAGACTCGACCCAGGCTATAACATATAAGTTTGACACACCCCCATAGGCAAAGTGGGGGAGAACAAGAGGTCACAAGACCGGTCAAGAAAGGCAAAGCAAGCCCAGGGTGGATCACGACGTCACCACGCAGTCTGAGCACAAACAAATGGCCACAAGGCCAGTTCACATGCAGAGTTATATAAAGGAGAACAAGCAATACAGTGATCACAACCTAGCAAGTGCAAGCATGCAGGTATAGGTATAGAGATCACAGTACAGGCAGAGTCAAGAAGTAAGCAAGTGAGGCACAGTAGGCACAAGGCCTAGAACAGTACAGAAACGCTGATGATCACAAGGCTGAAGCGCCTTGGTGAAGACATCAGCAGTGTTGGCCCGAGTGGCCACGTAAGCAAGACGAAGCTGACCACGCTGCTGCAACTCTCGAGCAAGGAAGTAGCGCAGAGCGATGTGCTTCGTTCTGTGCTCCAGTCTGTGCTCCTGACACAAGGCAATCATGGCCTTGTTGTCGACGTACAGCACTGGAGGAGAACGAGGCGGCTCTCCCAGGTCGGTCAGCAGGTAGGTGAGCCAGCATAACTCCTATGCAGCCATGGCCCCTGCGTAGATCTCAGCCTCACAACTGGAGCTGAGAACAGAAGACGAGCGGGTAGACAGCCAAGAGACAGAGCCGGAGCCAAGACTGAAGGTGTAACCCTGTGACGACCGCTGCGTAGCCAAGTCGTCAGCCCAGGAAGCGTCTGCGTGACCAGTGAGGACAACTCGAGCCCGTCCTCCAAGCACGAGCCCCATGCCCGACGTACTGCACAAGTAGCGCAACACCCTCTTAGCTGCATCCATGTGCTCCTTCCTGTGTCGGCCAGGAGCGACATAGCATGCTAGAATGCTAAGAGGGTAGGCAAGGTCAGGTCGAGTGCAGGTCATCAGGTACATGAGGCAGCCCACAAGCTCTGGATACGGGCCACTCGGCTCTACGGACTTGTCCGAAGGTGGAGCTGAGAGCGAGTGACCGGTAGGCAGAGGAGTGGACTGTGGCGAGGAGTACGTGAAGCGGAAGCGCTGAAGGACCTGCTGCACCATGTGTGACTTAGTCAAGGTAATGGTGCGCTGTGCTCTGTCCCGGGTGATCCGCAAGCCAAGATAGCTTGTCAGCTCACCCAGGTCTGTGCACATGTGTCTCTTCTGCAGCTCCGACTTCACGTGGGCGAGTGCCTCAGTGTCAGCAGTAGCAAAGACCAAGTCGTCTACGTACACGAGAACGTAGAACGGCGGCAGAGTGGTGTCGGTGTGTAGAAACAGCGACGGGTCAGCAGTAGAAGGAGCAAACCCAAGAGCAGCAAGAGTCGTCCTCAGTGTGTCGTGCCACTCACGGAGTGCCTGGCGGAGACCATAGACTGGCCGCCGGAGGCTCCACTGGGTACCAGCAGGAAACGACCCGGTGAAGCCAGGTGGGCGGCGCAGCCAGATCTCCTCGTGCAGGCTGCCCTGTAGGAAATCAGTGCTGAAGTCAAGAGAGTGAAGCTCGTAGTCACGCTGAACGGCGACGTGCAGCAGCACCCGAAGAGTGGTCATCTTCGGGGTAGGGGCGAAGGTCTGGAAGAAGTCAACTCCCTGTCGCTGACTGAAGCCTCGAGCAACGTAACGCGCCTTGAAGACAGGCGGAGAACCCGGCGGCCGCTTCACCCTGAAAATCCACATGCCACTGACAAAGTTCGCCCCAGGTGGGGGAACCTCGTCGACGTAAGTGCCTGTGGACTTCCAGGAAGCCATCTCTGCGTCCATGGCTGTATGCCACTGAGAGGAGTAGGGACCCTCTATCGCCTCTGCGTAAGAGCGCGGGGTCGGGATGTCTGGTGCATCCGGGTCTCCCTCAGGGGCAAGCAGCATGGACACGAGATGAGGTAAAGCAGCGGCAAGGCACTCAAACTCCTCCTGTCTGTCCTCAAGGACGTCCGTGCCAAGAGCACACTCACCCTCGACGGGCGGAGGACAGACAGACTCAGACTCAGACTCAGCAACAAGGCTAGCGACGTAGTCTAGACGACAGGCGGCAGCAAAGTCAACAAGCTCAGCAACTAGAGCAGACGCAGCAGTGGACTCAAACGAAGGGTCGGTGACAATAGTGGCCAGGAAACGCGTGAGAGTAGGACTAGCAGCACGAAGGCAGTCAGACTCCGGGTCCGGACCGTCAGGAAGAGAGTACGCTGGAGGAGACGGCAGAGGGACACGCTGTGGAGCAGTGGAAGGACACAGATTCATATAGTGAGTGCCGGGGACAGGAGGAGGACGCTGACGCGGAACATGACGACCAGTGCGTATAGCGCGAACAGGCGACTCAGGACGAGACTCAGGCGACGCAGGACGAGACTCAGGCGACGCAGGACGAGACTCAGGCTCACGACGCTCCGTAAGACCTCTAGTCGGTCCAGAGTAAGGAGAAGGACCAGGCAGTGGAGAGGCTGGCTGTAACTGCGACTGCGACTGGACAGGCGGTGGACTCAGTAAGGGAGGAGTAGGACCAGTAGAAGGCGGGAGGCCAAGAACCTGCTGAAGGAGCGGAACGTAGTACGGCCGCGGCCGCGCAGCGCCTCCAGAACCAGCAGAGACAGCACCAGTACCCCCAGCTCCAGGGTCCCCAGCTCCAACTCCCGCAGCACCACCAGCTGCAGTACCTCCAGCAGCTCCAGCTCCAGCAACAGCTCCAGCACCAGCAGCACCAACTCCCGCAGCACCACAAGCTCCAGCACCAGCAGCACCTCCAGCACCACCAGCTCCAGCAGCTCCAGTACCAGTACGAGCACCTCCGGGACCAGCGGCTCCAGCACCAGCAGGACCTCCAGCAGCTCCAACTCCAGTAGCTCCAGCACCTCCAGTGCGAGCACCTCCGGGACCAGTGGCTCCTGCGCCCCCAGCAGCTCCAGCACTAGCAGGACCTCCAGTAGCTCCAAATCCAGCAGCTCCAGCAACACGGCGACAGCGCCGAGCGTACCACTCTCGCAGCTGCTGTGGAGAGAGGGACTCCCGCCGTGACAAGACACCCGGAGGAACTCCAGACTCAGCACGCTCAGGCTCAGCACCCCTAGACACAGTACCCCCAGGCTCAGTACCCCTAGTCTCCACACGCTCAGGCTCAGCACCCCCAGACGCAGAACCCCCAGGCTCTGTACCCCCAAGCTCCACACGCTCAGGCTCAGCACCCCCAGACTCAGCAACCCCAGGCCCCGCACCCGCAGGCTCAGCACCCCTAGCAGTACCAGAGTCGACAGCTACCTCAACAGGCTCGACAGGGTCTACCTGGGACACACCTGAGCGGGCAGGACCGTGAGGGGGGAGGGGGTCTACCGGAGGAGCACCTGGTGATAGGAAGAGCGGCGGGGGGGGGAGAGGGGCAGTGCGGTAGGGAAAGAGACGGTAGTAAGATACCGACTCGTCAAACGTGACGTCCTGAGAGGACAGAACACGACGCGAGGTGGGGTGGTAAAACTGCCACCCAGGCGCGTCAGGAGGGAAGCCAAGGAAGACACAGGGAACGGCACGGGAGGACAGCTTGTCCGCGGAAGTATCGCGGACAAAAGCTCGAGATCCCCAGACACAAAACAGAGACGCATCGCCAACCTTCCCCGTCCACCGCAGAGTAGGTGTGGTCTCCGGCAAGGAGACACGAGGCTGAAGGTTGATCTGATGCGCAGCCACTGAAAATGGGGAGCAGCTGCATGGATCATGGACGTGCGAGCAACGTCCATGACCATGCCAATGCGGCGCTCAGCAATCCCATTTTGCTGTGGGGAGGCCGGAAGCGTGAACGTCTAGCGGATGCCCTCCGCACGACAGAAAGCCCGCAAAAGGTCAGAGGAAAACTCACCACCTCTGTCTGAGTGCAGACGCAGAACAGGAAGGTCCGAGCCGAAACTGTCGACGGGCACCGCGGATTCAGTCGATCAACACCTCAGTGACCTCACCCTTGCGGCGCAAGGGGAAGACTGTGGTGTAACGCGAGTAGTCGTCAACGACCAGCAGGAAGTAACGCTCGTGACCCTGTCCACGGACGCGGGCTGGGCCCCACACGTCCATGTGGAGAGTCTGCAGGGGAGCCTTTGTCGGAGGAAACTCGGAGGAGTGAGGAGCGGCGCGCTGCCTGCCCTCGACACAAGGAACACAGGTAGGGGCAGGCCCCGGAGGAAGGGGAGGGAGGGTAGGGGGAAGACCAGAGACAAGAGTACGTGAGGCCATACCTCGAAGACGAGGCAGGGAGGGGTGACCAAGGCGGTGGTGCCAAAGGAGAGTCTCGTATGACAGAGGACGACATGAGCAGGGGGCAGACGCCGGACTAGACCTGGACGCGGCAGCAAACACCTGACCAGACGCGGCTACCTGACCAGACGCAGTAACCGGAGGAGACGCAGTAGTCAGTGTGTACAAACTCGACCCAGGTCGACGGGTGAACGTGGCCAGGTGGCGGCCCGTCCAAGAGCAAGTGCAGTGGGTCACACGCTGACCTCCAGGGGTGAACTGGTCAACCCACACGTCCTGGAGGTCAGCTCCACTCACCAAGTTCGTAGAGAACGAGGGGAGGTGGAGTCCCGACAGCAAGCCCGACGGGGCCGCAGGACACGGTAATATCGTGGAGGAGTGCGCAAGGACTGGGCCCCCAGAGGGGTCAGCCAGGGAGACTGCAACAGGCCGACTGAGCGGCGTGAGTGTGGTGCTGTCGCGAAAGAAAGAGCGCGAAGCACCTGAGTCAAGTGTGAAAGTGTGCAAGGCCTCAGTAGGTGCAGTACCAGAGAGAGCAGACTCACCAGCACCTGGAGCAGCAGACTAACTAGCACCTGGAGCAGCAGACTCACTAGCACCTAGAGCAGCAGCCTCAATGCCCGGGTCGGGCGGAACACACAGGTAACAGTCACCCTCAGCACTATCAGTCACAGCATACATGGCAGCAAGGATAGCATCGAAGTCAAGATCAAAGATAGCAACATTCTGCTTAAGCAGATCACCCCAGCGAGGGAGCTCAACAGCGTCAGGAAACTGGGCACGCCAGGCGTCAGTCAGGCGACCGAAGCAGCGCTGCGTAGTGTGTGGCCCTCCGCACGTCTCCCCACGGCGCCCGCCGGTGCGAAGAACGTAAGTGCAGGGACCAGAACCCCCAGACCTCCCACGCCCAGCTTACCACTCACGAAGCTGCTGGGCCGACGGGGTCTCACGGGAACGCGGCTGCTGCTGGCGCTGGCTACCACCAAAGCCTCCACGCTGCGCTGCTCCACCTCGACCAGCACCGCTGCCGCCGCCACCTCCACCTCCGCTGCCGCTGCCTCCACCGCCGCTGCCGCTGCCTCCACCACCCCCACCGCCGCCACCGACGCCCCCACTCCCGCCACCACCCCCACCTCCACCGCCACCCCCTCCGCCTCCTCCACCGCCTCCACCGCTGCCCCCACCGTCCCCTCCACCACCCTTGCCCCCCTTGCCCTTGCTGTTGCGGCGCCTCCCACTAGGAGCAGACGCAGCCCCGACCTCCTCAGTGCCAACGAGGTCGACAGCAGCAGCAGAAGCAACAGAGGGGAGAAGGGGGACAGAGGAACACCCCTCAAAGAAAGGGGCACGAGGGTCGTCGCAAGAAGCACCTACAGTAACGATACTCTTCTCAGCTGCAGTGAGGCGCTCCTCTAGCAGGTCGACGGTGAGCTCGGTGGGGCAAAGGGAGAGAAAGTGGTCCCTGACTGAAGAAAGGGAGTCAGGGAGACGGGTGACTAGGTAGTAGAGGGTGATGTACATGGGGGGGGGGGGGGTTCTTGGCACAGAACTCAGTGGGAAGCGCAGCGCGGTAGCGGGCGTCACTAGTGCGGAGGTGAGTAATGAGGTCAGCGACTGTGGCAAAGGCGGCAAGGTCAGGGAACAGGTACGGCAGCATGAGGCGGCTGAGGGCAGCAGTGGTAGGGGAGGAGTAGCGCGTTACGACAGCGTCATACAAAGACTGAGCAGTCTTGTACTGGCCAAAGTGCGCGCGCTCAGTAGACGACAGGTGACTACGAACAGCAAGGCGAGCAACAGCGTCCCGAGTGGTCCACTGCGAGCGAACCGTACTGTCAGCAGTGGCAGCAGGTGCAGGAGAGACACCGGACGTGTGATCGAAAAGGGATACTCCGTCCTTAGAGTCACACTGAAGAAAGAGCTGTAGGTCGTCAACCCACACGTCAAAGTCAACCACACGCCCCTCAGCATCAAAGGTAAGAACATTAGGGCTAGCCATAGCGGCAGTAGCAGCAGTAGCAGCAGTAGCAGTAGTGGCAGCAAAAGCAGCAGTAGCAGCAGGAGCAGTGCGGGCAGGGCAGTGCGGCTCAGTAGGGCGGCGCGGCTCGGCAGGGCGGCGCGGCTCGGTAGGGCGGCGCGGTTCGGCTGGGCGGCGCGGCTCGGCAGGGCGGCGCGGCGCGGCAGGAGCGGCGCGGCTCGGCTGGGCGGCGCGGGTGCTTACCAGGGGCGGGTGCAGGGCAGGGCCGCAGCTGGCGGTTAGGTCAGGGCCGCGACTGGGGCGGCAGCAGGGCAGGGCCGCGACTTGGCAGCGGTAGAGCAGGGCCGCGACTGGGGCGGCTGAAGGGCAGGGCCGCGACGCGTCGGCGGCAGAGCAGGGCCGCGACAGGGCGGCAGGGCAGGGCAGGGCCGCGGCTGCGCGGCGGTAGAGCAGGGCCACGACGAGCAGCGGCAGGGCAGAGGCCGCGGCGGGCGGCAAGGTCAGGGCCGCGACGAGGGGCGGCAGGGTAGGGCCGCGACGGGCGGCTTGAGTAGGCCGCGACGGGCGGCAAGGCAGGGCCGCGGGCGGCGGCAAGGCAGGGCCGCGACTAGGCGGCGAAGTAGGGGCCGCGACGAGGCGGCGACCGGGCAAGGCCGCGATGGGCCGAGAAGGCAGGGGGCCGCGACGGGCCGTTAGGGCAGGGCCGCGACGGGCCGAGAAGGCAGGGCCGCGACGGGCGGCACTAGGGCAGGGCGCGCGAGGCGCGAGGCGCGCTTCGGGCAGGGCAGGAAAAACAAAAAAAATCGTGGTGGGCCAAAAAAAAAACGTTCCCACGAGGGAACCTGCTCAGAATACCATGTCAGAATAGTGAAGGAAGGAATGACTGAACTAGCAAGCAGGTGGGTACAAGTAGGAAACCTAAAAGTGTTGTACCCTATATGAACTACCCCATTACAGCCTACACAGACTATAGCATATAAGTTTGACTGTTTTCGCACAAGAACTTGCTGGGGATTCACTAACAAGAGACCTATTGAAGGTGCAAACTCATAGCCACATGAGAACGTGCAGAATAAAGAAGAACCAGACCTCTCGTAAATTCCGTTTTGGTAAACCTAAGTATCCACTTCCAAAAACATTAGTTTTTATGCCTTATGGCAAAAAATGCACCAATGTGGATGTGGAAAAACATAGGTCGTATAGAGAGACGGTGGATGAATTCCTAAACGCTCTTGAGAAAACTTCCAACTTAACTTTTGCGTTATTCTTGGATACGGTGCGCCTAACATACGACGATTATATTAGTTGCCTACGTGTAGGCCCAAAAAAACGAACGCTTTTAAATGCCAGGGATGTACGAGATTGTTACGTCAACAGCTTCAACAAAATAATACTTTCTGTTTGGCGAGGCAATATGGTTATTCAATTGTGTATCGACCCATACAATGTGGCAACATGTATTGCTGCATATATGACGAAATTAGGTACAGGTATAAGTAAGTTTATTGAGAATGCAAAAAGATTTGCAGCAGTGCAAGGTACGAGTGTTTTACATATTCTTCGAGACCTTGGAAATTAGATACTAAACACTCAAGAAATTAGCGCACAAGAAGCTATTTATCTTGTTTTGAGCCTTCCTTACAAGAAAACCACTCGTGGTTTTGTATTCAAATTATTATTGAAGACAAATGCCGAATTGGAAGGTTTACATCCTCAATAGACTGACATTTTTACACCATATGCCTTATTGGATCGATATATAAATCGACCAATAGCTATGGAGGCTGTTTGTTTTGCATATTTCTCATCTGAGTATGAAGAAACAAGTGATAAAGTCCGTATAGGTCTTGCTATTTCTCCCAAGAGACGATTTTATCGCGAACGATCAAGGAGAAAGATATTTCGATACGTTAACTACCATAGTGATGTCGATGACGATAACTATATGCGTGAGCAGATACTATTGTCTGTTCCTTTTCACCAAGAAGCTTGTGAATCGACCGAAGTTGCCCAAATCTATGCGGCAAACGATGATATCATTTTGACCAAGAGGAATGAGTATTTACTGAATCGAGATACGTGGATACGTGCACTAGATGACGCCATCGATGTGGATGACGATGGCGACGATCTTAATAACGGAAAGTCCCTAAAAGAAGATGTTGACATTGGCGTCGAACTTGGATTCGACAAATTCGTCCGATCCACTGATGTTTTTCATTCGGACAGGTTAAATACTCTAAAATTTCAATGGCGAAAGGCATCTGGCGTGCATGATTACGGTCAAGGGGTGCTCGGGATTTCGGTTGAAACCCCGAATCCCGAGTTGACTCGGCGAACAGGTAATTTCTCCATAAATGTCGTGCGCGTAAAGTGACAATTTCGATACAGGGAAAAGACGGTGAAAACTGTTTTGTAACTGTAAAGCCTTGGGAAAATGGTAATCCCACATGAGGAAGCATTATTCCACATGTGCGTTCATGATCCTTCGTGAGCGAAGTCAGCAGAGGCCTTTGGCAGACATGAAATTTGAAGATAGTTATTCTACAAAGGCGAGCCAAGCCAAACTCCGCAGCAGTTGGACAACCGTTTTCCTTTGCACATCTGGCAAAGCCTTGAAGTCTAGATAAACAACTACTTTGTATTTCCTTTGCGTGTGCGTAGGATCTGATATTAAATATGTGCTTCTGCGAAGTTGTGATCAACGCTTTGGAATGAAAATTGCTCTATCATCGTATTGACTTGAAGAGATATTTCTGCACACGAGCCCATCCGTCGTCTAACGCTGCGCAAATGAGTTTGGGAGCGTTCTAGTGCACACGATTGTGTTTACACTTAGTGTGTCCCTCGAAAAACATGGACCCTTGGCGAGGGGATGGCTTTGCCAGGCACCCGAGGACCCTTGGAGGTGACCCCGTGGGGACTAACTATTGTGTATTAAAGGTGTGCAAAGAGCTTTTAGATCCCAATAGTGGTCAACAGCTTGAACCTAAGTATCATGCCATTTGAGTTTCACCTCTACATATATCTGCACATGAAACAAGTCTAACAAATGAGAATAGTAATAATGAGATATAGAACCATAATAACCACAATGATAAGACAGTATGTATAACGTATAAAAAAACTTACATCCCCTGAGTCGTGCGGAAATGGCAGAGGATATGTCGTAAGCACATGTACAATATGATTTGAAAGGTTACAACGAGGATGAACTATTGATGTATCAAATACAGTGAAATTGCATGCATGTAACACATAAGATGATCAACATGATGTATGATTTGATAAAGATGAAATATAGCGATGACAAACTCTTGATGATGCTTATTCAATAACAGCGTACACAGGGAAATGGTCAGAAAAGTGTGTTTCACATACATTTCCTTTAGATGTGCTTTGAAGCGATTTCTCCAAATATGATCAATAAGTGTACCGTTTACGGTTGTAAGATCAACAATGAATTGCGTGAAACCTGTCAAACTAGCATCATGTTATGTTGTGTAGGCTGTAGTGGGGTAGCCCACAAGGGGTACAACCCAATTAGGGTTAGTACTTGTACCTGCTTCCTTTCTAGTTCATTCATTCTCGTTTATTCTTCTGACACGGTTTCAGAGCAGGTCCTCTCCTAGGACCGTTTTTTTAGGGCCCACCGTCTAGCTCGCTGCCCGTGTCGCGCTACCCCACCCGCCGCGCCGCCCTGCTGGCCTCGCGCTGCCCTGCCCTGCCCGTCGCGCTGCCCTGCTAGCGCCGCGCTGCCCTGCCCTGCCCGCGCGCCGCCCTGCCCCACGTCGCGCCGCCCGCGCCGCGCCGCCCTGCCCTGCCCCGCGTCGCGCCGCCCGCGCGCATCCTGCCCCGCGTCGCGCCGCCCGCGCACGCCCTGCCCTGCCCTGCCCGCGCGCCGCTCGCCGCTGCGCCGCCCTGCCCTGCCCGCGCGCCGCTCGCTGCCGCGCCGCCCTGCCCTGCCTGCGCGCCGCACGCCGCCGCGCCTCCCTGCCCTGCCCGCGCGCCGCTCGCCGCCGCGCCGCCCTGCCCTGCCCGCGCGCTGCTCGCCGCCGCGCCGCCCTGCCCTGCCCGCGCGCCGCTCGCCGCCGCGCCGCCCTGCCCTGCCCGCGCGCTGCTCGCCGCCGCGCCGCCCTGCCCTGCATGCGCGCCGCTCGCCGCCGCGCCGCCCTGCCCTGCACGCGCGCGGCTCTGCTGGCCGCCGCCCTGCCCTACCCTGCCTGCGTGCCGCCCTGCTGGCCGCCGCCCTGCCCTGCCCAGATGGCCGCCGCCCTGCCCTACTGGTTGCGCCGCCCTGTCCTAGCCGTGCGCCGCGCCGCTCTGCCCGTTGCGCCGCTCTTGCTTGCGTGCTGCCGTGCTGCGCGCGCGCCACTCTGCTCTGCCCGCTATGGCTACTCTCAGCGTCCTCACGTTCGATCCTGAGGGCTGTCCGATCGAGTTCGATGTGTGGCTAGATGACCTGCAGCTGTACCTACTGAGCGATTCTAGAGACGGCATTTCGTTATTTGACCTCACGTCTGGAGCCTCTCTCGCCCCTCCCGACACAGCTGACAGTGCGACTCGCTCACAGTGGCTTACCCGTGACGCTGCTGCTCGCCTAGCTGTTCGCAACCACTTGCCGTTAGCCGAACGCGCTCACTTTGGCCAGCACAAGACTGCTAGAGCCCTGTACGACGCTGTAGTCGCTCGTTACTCCTCCCCGACCACTGCTCCTCTATGCCGCCTTTTACTACCCTACCTTTTTCCCGAGCTGTCCGCCTTTGCCACAGTTGCCGACCTCGTCACTCACCTTCGCACTAGTGACACTCGCTACCGCTCCGCACATCCTGCCGAGAACCCCCCTCCCATGTACATCGCTCTCTACTTCATCGTCACCCGCCTCCCTGACTCTCTTAGCGCAGTCAGGGACCTCCTTCTCGCCCTTGACCCCACAGACCTCACTGTCGACCTCCTCGAGAAGCACCTCCTTGCAGCTAAGACCAGCATAGTCGCTGTAGGCGCTTCTCGTGGCACTCCTC